GGGAAAGTATTAGCACAAAAAATGAAGTAACTTAAAACAACTTACATTGAAAGGAATGTTTAATAAGATAAACAAATAAATAGTAAGTTTTTTTTTTTTTTGTAAATTTTGATATCCTTTAGATCATAAATACTTTATTATTTCATAAATCATGATTTCATATTTTTAATTTTATAATTTCTACATGCCATCTTACTAGATTTAAACTGATGATCTAATATTCGGAAAAATCCCGAATTCGGAATCGCCGAAGTCCCTATGATTCCGGATTTCAGTCTTTGTACTGTATTAAATATCCTGAACGTACAAGTTGAAAATCAAGGATGTGGGTTCAACTCCCCATGGTAAACTTGGCAATATATGTGTTGTCTCTTCTCCTTTTCAGCAAATATAATATCTGTTGCATCAGTGTCACACCCTAGGCTGTGTTGCTGGTGACAAGAACCAAATAACAGATGAATTAGACCAAATTTCCAATGAATGCATAACCAGCAAGTGTTTGCTGTTGAATTTACAATATACACTGCTGTCATTAAAATTGTAACACCATGAAGGAAAACAAATACAAAACAGATATTTATTGGGAATGGGCAATTCGCTTTATGCTGCGTCAAGTCTCTGCAACACTTCATTAACTGTATTAGCAGGAGAGGGGTGGCAGGACAGTCTCTCAGCAACCCATGACCAGATGTTTTCAGTGGGCGACAGATTTAGAGATCATTCAGCCAGGGCAGCAGTCGAATACCCTGCGTATTGAGGAATGTGTGGACACGAGTGCAACATATGATCTTACGTTATCTTGTTAGAAGATGGCATTTGGCAGACTTTGAAGATAGGACACAGCAACTGGACTTACGACGTCAGAAATGTACTGATCTTTATTTAAATTGTCATTGATCTGAACTAGAGATGTGCATGCTGTGTTCCCAATGGCTGTCCAAACCATCACACCAGGTGTAAAGCCCCTATGTCAATACGAAATGCAAGCAGGTGACATGCGATCACCTCAGAGCCTCCAGGCATGTGTACGGCCATCAAGATACTGCACACAGAAGCAGGACTTGTCTGAAAAGATGACATTGTACTACTCCTGTATCCAGCCTTGTCATTCGGTGCACTAGAGTTGGCGTCTGTCTCTATGCTGTATTGTCAAGGGTTGCCATGCTGATAGTCCACGCTGCTGCAAATTTCGACGCACCATATGAGCGAATACTGGGACTGGGCATGCTGCAAACATGCCCATTTCTTGACTAATGATCTGTGATGTGGTTGTATGGTTTTGCAGAGCTGACCTCACAACATGTGTGTCCTCCTGAACATTAGTCAGGAGAAGGTGTTGAGATCCTGCATGCTATTCAGTATGACCTTCAGCAAACCATTGCTTGCGTATTCGCATGACAGTGGTTGGATGTCAAGCAGTGCAATGGGCGATATTACGAAACGATAGTCCACATTCTCGATAGGCAACAATTCTGCCTCTATCAAATTCCGACATTTGAGAATAAGCTTTTCTTATTATTATTGGAGGCATAACATGATATTCTGAGCAAACTCCGGCCTTACAAAGTTCTTTCCGAATGAGAAATCCATTACACAACCTTTCGTTTATGCAGTGCTTCATACGCCGTTTCTCCCTACTGCATTGTCTAAATGAGTTGAAATGCTAATCATTTGCATATCCCAACCTCTTCTTCCTTTCATGTGATTTTGACATTTGTCAGATCATTTCTTCCTGGTGTTGCAATTTTATTGGCCAGCAGTATATATTAAATATGTAAAGTCTTGCATCATAATTAAATTTAGTTTAAATTATGTGTAATTAATTATGACTTAAACATTTCCTTAATTTTTATAAAATAAATAGATTTTCTGCCTATTTGTTTATTCATAAGCTATTTCATTTGCTCACAGGTTGAAATAAAATATAATTTCTTTAAAAACTCATCGTTCTATTTCTGCTTCATAGGTTGCATTGCTATCCAAAGTAAAAGCAAAGAAGTTCCATAATGTAAGCAAAAATGAATTGAATTAGAACAAATCTGGGCTTGATATGCTTATAAGTTAAAATAAAATGTAAGATTCTATGAATTTTTTTATTTGCACTGTATTGCAACAGAAGTTCCACAAGGAAAAAATTGAATTAGAGTAAAGCTAGAAATTCATACAGTATTTTCTCACCTTTACAAATAAATTAATTTTTAACTGAGGAAGTTCAGAAAATAACAGCATAAAGATTGTAAATTATTAATTAAAATTTTGCTTCTAGATTGTTTTGCCATGGCTAAGTTATCACTAACTAATTCATAGAATCGTGGTTGGTATTGAACAGAAGAATTCAGATAAATTTTAGTATTTTCTAAAAAATTTAACTTTGATTTTTGAAAATGAAATTGTTAGTCTGAGATTTTAAAATGGTAGTTCACAACGCATTGTTTGAGAATTATTCGCTTTGGAAATTATACATGTAAAAATTGGTAACTTTGATTTCATTAAGTCAATGTAATTTAAAAAGGAAATCAGTTAAGAAAGTAAAAGTAGCATTTTTATTACTGAAACAGGATTAAAATCCTTAAACTCCTCTAAATGGCTTACTGTATTTTTGTTTCCCTTTGTATTTAGTATTTTTATTATTATAATGAAATGGTTTTTACAGCAGTGTAGGTGACATATGTTTCATGTGATTTGTATCAGTCAGAGTCTTGAAAGTTTTGTGACTTCATCAAGAGTGATAGGAGGGATGTATTTAAATTCCCCCAGCTTTCCTCTAAGCACTCACTGGAGAATGATTTGTTAAATTATATACATGTAGTTCTTCAGATATCCTCAGAGATCATAATCATATGAATTTAACCTGGGAGAATATAACGACCATTTGATTCAATAGTCATAGTTTCTTTTCTTTCTAGTTTTAAAATGTTTATCATTTGATATTGATGTAGCCATTTGCTTCTTTGATTCTCTTTTCTTTTTCCTTAATTAACTGTAATTTACCTTTCCTCTGCAGTTTATGAGTATATTTGTTTATTTTGACTCTAAGTAAACTCCTTTAACATGGAATGGGAACATGGATTTTTGTTTAGTTTAGAATTCAGTGCATCATTCTGAGAGTCAGAGTGTATGCTGTGTAGTTGTAACTGTGTAGAATATACAGTGGTGGCCAAAATTGTGGACACTTTTGGAAATTTTTATGTTTTTGAACTTTGTATGCTTATAGAAAATGTTACGTTTCGCAAAATGCAAACTTGTATATATCGTTTTAAAGAGAATTCATTACTGCATTCAATACAAAACACAAAATTCAATTATTTGCAATACCAAAAAAAAAAAGTTATATGTACTTTGATATAAATAAAAAACACAGTTATAAAGTGGTTTGTAATGTCTAGCTTTCCTGGCCAATCACTGTTCTTGTTCTGAGAACCAATCAAATGTTAGTAACTGCCAGGAGAAGCTGACATCATGTTTACACTTGAAACAATTCACTATTTTGCTTTGTTCTGTAGAAGGAGGACCTGTTTCTTATACACTGCAATTACAAGTACGAATTTTTGTAAAAATTTTTAATATTTAGTCAAGAAGCAATGACATCAAATAAAGGAGTAGATTGGACACCTAGAAAGAGATATATTATTATTGTGTTACGAGAAAGTGGTTTCTATGCTGAAAATTGCAAGACAGGTGGTGATTCAGTGACTACATCTGGAGTCCGAAAGTTTTGTTTACATATCAAGAGACAATTCAAAAGAAGGAAAAGGCCGAAAAAGGTGCACGACATCTATTGATGACATAATAAAAAGACTATGTCTCCAAGATAGAAAAATGTCATCAGCGCCATCAGAAGTGATCTTGTGTGGGTTTCTATCAGTTCAAGAACAATCAAAAAAGATTACAGATGTTGGACTGAGAGTAGAATTCCAGGAAAAATGCCTTATCTTAATTTTCAGCAACCAAAAAAAAAAAAAAAAAAAAAAAAAAAAAAAAAAAAAAAAAACAGTGGGCAAAGGAACATTTAATGGCAGATGATCAGTGGTCACACGTTATATGGAGTGATGAAAAAAGATATCGTATTCGGTTAGTGATGGGCGAAAATATGTAAGACGTAGAATAGAAGAGCTACATCCTGACTGCATTCAAGCAACTGTGAAGAACCTCAGTGTTTATGATTTGGTCATCATGTCAAGCAGATGGTATTGGTCGCCTTCATGTCACGATGGGACACTGAATGCCAGAAATACATTGACACTATTCTAGAACCAAAACTACCTTCCATCAGAGCTCTTTCCCAACAATGCTTCGTTTATTTTCAGAAAGATTCTGCTCCTTGCCACGGCCCAAATATCGAAAGATGCTTTATACAAAGAGCATTAAATTGTTGTCATGCCAGGAAACAGTCCTGAGCCTCAATCCTATCAAAAATTGAGGCACCGTTTGAAAACTCTGTCCGAATGAGGCGCCCATCAAATAAAAGGGAACTAATGAGGCTATAATTGTTCCGGCATGTGATAACGAAAAAAGGGCTTAAAATCTTGTCAGCTCAGTCGATATAAGTACTAATACTCACGCAATCATCACTATCTATGTGTATATCGATAACTATTATCGTTTAACTTTTTTGTTTGCAAATATTGAATTTTTGTTTTGTATTGAATTCAGTAATAAATTCTCTTTAAATGATATATACACGTTGCAATTGTTAACCGTAACGTTTTCTATAAGCATACAAAGTTCAAATACATAAAAATTTCCAAAAGTGTCCACAATTTTGACCACCACTGTATTTTATTCTATGAAAATAATAAACTTTGTGGTATGAAATTGTAAAGCTTGTATTATAAATAAAGTGAAAAGATTCAGGTAGAATTCTATAAATTGCTTGTGACATGAATAAATGGAGCAAAATAACTATGCCAACTGAGAATGTTATTTTCTGCCATATTGTCTTTTCATTAACTATTTGTATAATTTGTAATATTTTAGTATTATTGAAAAACTTTAAACAGGTCACCTCAGCTTTCATTTTGGCATATCAGAACAGGATTGGAATAAAATAAAGCAAAATATAGATTCCAAGTGTCGAACAGCATTTCGTAAAAAAATGAAAGGATTACCTTTACAACCAAAGGTTGGTATAACTATTCTGGTCCTTTATCATAATGTTCTTATTGCAATATTTATTCATAATATTACTCTTGTAGCTCAGAAGACATAATTAGATCTTTATAGCCATTTTTAATGTGAAGTCTAAACTTTGCAGCAATTCTCTAACATAAATAAAAATGTGAAGAGAGAAAATCTGATAAAAATATGCAAATTCATGAAATTTTTTAAAGACATCATTTGATTGCTTGATTCAAACATAATTAACCCTTTAGATGCCACATAGTATTTGGTATTTGGGTAGAAAAACAAAGAGCATTAATGTGCTTATGTCATCTAAAAGATTAATGGCCATATTTATAGACTAGATCCTGCTTAATACATTTTGCTGCTATAAATATTTATTGTATACTATTCAATTCACCATCTTAGAACTAAAATTCTTATTTCTTAAGTAAATGGGAGAGCATGTAGAGAAGTGTCTATTATTATGATTAAATTTTATGTTACTAGTTTTGCTCTTTGGTTTTCTTCCATTTGCAACTGACATACTTTTGGCATCTGTGAAAGGGAAGCCAAACATATGCTGAGACCTGATGATAGCAGCATCTGGTGACCAAACCATTTGTGTGTGTGTTTAGCACATCTAGTTTTGTATTTACAATTAAAAAACTCCACAAAATTGCATGGTAAGTGCTAAAAGTATCTGCTTTTTAATTTTTTAATCTCTAAGGCATCAAATTAACAGAGACTATAGCAAACATGAAGTTGCAGACTTTTTTGATCAAATATCAGGATATTCTGTCTTAACAAATATATGAAATGATCAAAAACTGCATAGTAAAAATCATTTTCCAAACTATAGAAGCAGTTATCCAAGAAAATATCTTAGAAAGTGTTATTTTAAGCAAAGGTAAGTTTGAAACTATTTAATTATTTCATGCTAAATATAATCAAGTGTCTTAACTTCAGAGGGAAAATGAAATTTGATATTCAAATTTTTATTACACTAAAAATATGAAACGTTGATTTGAAGAGTCCGTAAGCACATAATTAAATTTCCCATTAACAAATTTAATTCAGAGGCATTTGTCCATAATTTTGAGAAGTGTTCACATTGTTGATTCACATGATATCTGGGAAGAAATTTGCCATAAGTCAAGAATATTTTAAAACTCTCGTAAAAAGAATGCAATAAGATAAACAACAATCAAAATATCTACATATAATTAATGACATACGAAAAAATAAATCTGAAGATATTTATATAAAAGAATCAAATATTGTATATAAATATGCAAATTCATGAAATTTTTTAAAGACATCATTTGATTGCTTGATTCAGACATAATTAACCCTTTAGATGCCACATAGTATTTGGTACTTGGGTAGAAACAAAGAGCATTAATGTGCTTTATGTTTAAAAAAATCATAAAAAATTTTATTTATATATTAATAAAAAGAAATATATTAAAGCAAATGCATACTCTTTTATAAGCTATTGAATTAATCTGTTGAAACAGCTGGTCTGCATATGCTTTTGTTTCTGCAATCTTTTTATAATTTTTAGCATGTTGGGCAAAATTTCTGTGGTTTAAAATAAATATAGTACTTCTCTGACTTACATAAGTTTATTTTTTTTTGGGGGGGGCGGTGTTGTTTGTTTCGTAGTTTTTCCTCCCACCACCCACCATGCAAATCATTTTGCTGTCACTGGGTCTGTGGCCCTTAGCCAACGGGACACTTAACCGACACCAGTTAGCCGGCAGTACATTTAGCCAACATGGACACTTAGCCTACAGAACATTTAGCCGACACAGGCAGTTAGCCGACAAGGACACTTAGCCGACACAGAAAGTTAGCCGTCAGGACATTTAGCTACGGGACACTTAACTATCAAGACATTTAGTCAACAGGTTACTAAGCCAACAGTGATGTTTAACTGACACATACCCAAAAATTATTTAAACTATCAATTACAAAATTTCTCGACTACTCCATAAGTTCAATATTTAAGTCATTTTTTTCACCTATCAGTAAAATTCATTTTTCGATTCTTAAAAATCTCATGTGTGCTGTTAATTATTGTAAATTTAGCATTGTTTGATATGTACGTGCTGTTGGTGTAATTGGCCAATTGAAAAGCACTGAAATTTCGTCAGGGAATATGAATTAAATTTCGAAAGGAAAAAAGAATTTTTAGCTGGTCGGCGGTCACTTAATTACATTTTAATATGATCTTCAAAAATTATCTGTAAAGCTAAACCAAAAACGAGAAAGAGAAAGAATGAATATTAGTATATTCTAAATATAATAGTGTGAAAAACAAACTTATAACAAAAAATTTCTTTTTTCAGTGTCATAAATCCACATTATTTAGAATATTTATAATTTTCTGTATGTGTGAAAGTTCTTTTTAATCCCCCAACATTATAAAAAATATTGGTTCTAAAATTTTATTAGAAGTAAAATCCTGTTTATCTGAACTAATTTTATTTTAGAAATTTTAGATAACACATTATCGAGCTGTTTTTCATAAAAAAATTGTCTATTTTTGTTGGCATCAGTTATGATAATGTGTAGGATATTTTTAAGTAAATAAGTTTCCTGTATCTCCATTCAAGATATTTATTTTTATTTAAATCTTAACATATACAATGTGCATCTTTAAAAATATTGCGTGCGTACGGGTTCGTTACGAAATGAATGCACAAGTCCGATGAAAAATGAACAAAATTTATTTTATCACAACAATATGCTTAAATTTCATCAAATTATATGTAGTATTACAATATCTCACAGTAGTTATCTTTTAACTACTCAAACGTTCAATAGAACTTAACTCAAAAAAGCTGAAGAACGCTAATCCGCGAATTCGCTACAATCAACAAGAGCAGTGTTCTAAACAAACTCTTAAAACAACAACTAACTAAAATCACTGACTAACAAATTGAGAAGTTTAATGAAACTTATGTAAGCTTTCTAAATGCGCGAGAATTTTCTGGTATTTTCTCCAAATCCAAAAGGAATATTTATTTATTAAATAGTCAATGCAAGCGCTCTTGTATTTTTAATTTTCCGGCTTAGCTTTCTTTTAATAATCGTCACGCGCTGCACTGCAAGGGGAATAAATCACTTTAATTTTTAATTCTACAAACATTAGCTTTTTAAATACCAAATTCATAACAATATAAAGAATCAGATTTTTAGTGCAAAATGTACTCTAAATGTCACATGGAAGAAATTAGATAAATATGTTATGAAAGTTAATATACAATAGTTTTAAAGATATGGATATTTAGTGAAAAAAGAACTTAAATCTCATATCCTTGTAGATTAATGTTATACGCAGTTATAGGATAGCAAAATATATTTAAGATATAATGCAGTTTTTAAAAAATTATTCATTGAAATATTTGATGTTTTTATTTTCAAGAAACTATTTTAGTATACAGAAAATTTTATTCGACCAAATCCATCACTGAATGTAAGCTCTTAATACGAATCTGCTAGGTAACTATTTCAGAGTCCACTATTTTTACACACAGCATAATAATATGTATGCATGTTTGTTTTATGAAATACGTATTTATCTTTAGTTAATTAGACAACAAAAAAAAGTTGAATTTTTACATTATTATTATTTTCTTCTATAAACTATTATTCAAAAATACTAAGCTACATTTAAATGTTATATTTTACAGATGATCCATCCAGAATATGCAGATTTCCAAATATTGCAAGCAACACCAGAACAAGTGGCAGAAATCCAACAGACTCATCAAATTAAGTTTCTAAGCACTGGAGAGCTATTAGCTACTCCTTTACCTACAAAGTTAACTTCTAGTCAAGACATGGCTTTCCTTACGGATGATTCAGAAATGAGTGGGACTTAAAAATTCTTGTACCATAACATATATATGTATTCATTCCATTTGTACAATACATCAGTAATAAATCTCATATTTGATACAGTATGGATTTTAGAAAATATTACAAATGTACAAAGTTTTATTGAGTGCTATAAGAAGCATTGAGCTAAAACAGGCTTACTTTTGTAATTTCATCATGGATGACAAACTGTTTCTCGAAATCTCTGTATCTGGTGAAAAGTAAAGCTAGTTTATCTCTATAACACAATCTAAAACTAATAACACAATCTCGAACAGGTTTGGCTTTGCTCTACGGTATATATCCATGAATAAAAAATAGCTCTCAATTTTATGGTTTGTTTTTTGCCTTAAAACCTAATTATTTAAAGTTGAGGGCCACCTTACATTAACTATTGATGATTAAATTTTATTTTTATACTATTCATAAAACAGTTTGTTCAAACATTTAATTCTCTGGCTTACAACCCCTTTAACAAGGAAGTCACAAAGAAGTCCTTTGTTTGTTTTTTTAAATTCTTTTTTAGATGATTATAATAGCTTCAAACCCTGGCTTTTAACAATAGCCACAGACATGGGATAGTGGTTAATAACACTGACTGCAGTACTGAAGAACGTGCATTTGCATCTCAGATAGGGCATTGATGTTTGTAAGCATATAGTGTCTGTGTGGCAAAGGAGCACTCAAAATACACAGTGAGATGAAATCCTCTCAAGGTGTTAATGGTTGACCCTCAGACCACCTCCAGGATGTTCTTCCAAGGAATTCCAAATTGTAACAGAAGCTTAGCAGTTAGCAAATTGATAACTAACTTCCCTACATGGATTCACAGGTGTCACCCTTGCTTCAACCTGCACCTGCTTTTAATAATAACACAACAGAACCCACTATTTCAAATTTTTATTGTCACCACAAATAAATGCATAAAAATTCAACATATGGTTTCAAAATTCTTTTTGCATTAAATTTGCATCTCATTTAATTTCTCAGTGTTTGCATTTTCAGCATCTATTGCTGCATCATCATCAGGATGTTGGTGCAATGAAACAAGTAAGTAAAACAACATGTATCTGAATTGACAGAGATGCAAATTAAAATTTAAAAATAGTTTTAGAAAAACATTAAAAGTATTCTATGACTTTATCAGTCACAACTCCTACATGTTGAAGCAAGGAGTACAAAAAATTGAAAAATTGAAGCATTAAAAACACAAAGAAATTTAAAAAGATTGCAAAATAATAAAGAAATTTACAAAAATATTTTTAGTAGATCTAAGTCCAAAAACAAAACATGCAAAAATAATAATTCAGACCTCGAAAACAAAAGCAAATGCAAAATTTTAATGTAACATTTGAAAAAACAAAACCATATGCAAATTTTGATAATGTACAGGCTGGGGGTAGGGGGCAAAATAGCATAAATCATAAGCAAGCAATAACGCTTGGACTGAGTTCAAAAACATGTAAAACAGAAGTAATCCAATCTATGAAAAAATAATGAAAATTTTGATCTTAAAAAAGTAAAATAAAAAAAGTTTCAGATTTCATATTACACCCAAAGGGGCATTTTTCTAACATTTTGTGTTACCTTTATTTATTAAATATGTTCTTTGCACTTAAGCAATTAAACAGCAATATCACAAAATATTTAAAAGAGCATATCTTCAGAATTTCTGATACACAATCTCGCAAGCTGGAGATATTTTTTTTTTTTTTTTCTGTACAGTGTTGCCCGTTTTGAAATCGTCAAGTTTCTTAAAAAAAATAATGAAACAAATTCCAAATTTAAACTTCCGGATGCCCATATTCAAATGGTGGCATACGTTATTCAAAATTTGATGGATATAGGTACCAATGTTTTATCACAATGCGAAAAACATGCATACAATTATGCAGATTCTTCATTATTTAATTTCTTTAAATATATTACAGGACTCTAATATTTGGTGGCAACAATTTAAAAAGTGATTTGTTGTTTATAGTGAATCAACGCAAAATGTCAAAACAAAATTAATAGCCCTTCTTGCTAAATTGCTCCTTTGGGTCAAAAATAGAGGTTCTGTAGCACATGAGCAATAAAATTTTAGAAATGAAAAAATATATTTGCTTGTATATTAGCAAGGCCAAAATGTGTTAAGTAATGAATTTAGATAAACAATGAATTTTAAATTGATTTAACAAGAAAAAAACGTCTGCTGTAATATAAAATAAGTAGTTATAAAAAGGAAAAAAGCATCAAATTACCTGTATTAGAAATAAGTTCAAGTGAAGTTAATTCGCTTCAGTTCATCATATAGAATAAAATTATTGTGATTAGGTTAACAAATGGACTAATTTGTAGTGTTAAGTAACAAAATAATTAAAATATTTTAAAACTGAGATGCATAGTGAAAAAAGTTTTATAAAAATAATAAATTTTTTTGGTAAAAGTAGAAAAATAAAACAAATATTTCTGTGTGTGTGAATAATAAATAATTATATTGATAGTGAGGGTAATGTAAAGTAAACTGTGAGGATAGTTGTGAGCAAATTTTGAGAATTTGAAACAATTGCTATAAATTATAGGTAACCTAAAAGAGAATAAATGCAGAAAAGAAATTGCATGCCTTAATGAAGTGGTACAGGTTACAGATGGCAGCTGAATTGTTACATCCCATAGGAATGGAATATTGTTCGTTTGTAGAAAGATTTTATTTTGATGTTAAGAAAAGTGTGATAAGATTGGTAAGAGTTGTGTTTATTGAAACGAATTAAGTTTTTAATACTGGGAAATTGGTGATAAAGTTTAATTAAGCTGTTGTAAATTTCATTAAGTGGCAAAGTAGTGTACAAGTTCTCAAAATCGTAGCAGTTAATATTGTGAATTTGTTGTTTGTTAAATTTTAATGACTTTCTGATTATTGTTGATAATCAAGTTGTTATGTATTTCAATATTAGTTTATTTCTGGACCTCAGTACAAACTTTTTTGAGGATTTTGGTCAAATTAATATTGTTATGGATTATGTACACGTAAATAACTTTAGTGAAATTATATGTGAAGTTGAAGTAGGCTTTTTTTTTGGGGGGGGGATATAATGTAACATGAAATGCTTGAAAGAGAGACAATGCTGTGCCATAAAAATAAGATTACATAGTAAAATCGACCAAAGTCGCCAAACTTGGTGATATTTTGGTCCGATCCCTGTATTACTGTAATTGGCATTATGATTGAATAAATGTAATTGATCCCTATACATAACTGCAACTGTATGTGGCCCTCATATCCCTTCCATTAATTTCAAGAAATGGACAGTACTAGAGATTCTCAGTGACCGGGAAATCTGTATAAACTATATAAGACCAGAGAAAGAATCAGTTTCTCAGTTGTTACTTGAGAGCTGAATTTGGGGTATTGAGATATCCGAGTGAGCTTTGCCTCTTAGGTACACTTTGCATTGCATTATATTTAACATTCATAGTAGTTTGAAGCGTAACTACTGATTGTACTCTGTGATGCTGAGAAGAACTGTATGATTATTTTTGTGGAAATTTCCAGAACTGTGTTTCTTTTGGTAAAATAAATTTTATCAAGGTATCGGTTCTGTGTGCATTCAATCTTTTACAAACCTATATGCACACAACAATATCGATTTTTTTTAACTATTTATTTCATTATCAATAAAACTAGATTGGATTTTATCAATTTTGGAAGTGCATACGAACTAAAGAATTTATTATAGGGTACTTTACAGAAAATTTTGAAACATTCTAACTCTATTAATAAGCAAGGTTTCTTGACTTTTAGAGATCTGATAGGTAGTTTTATTAAGTTTATTGCTAGTAATATTTTGATAGAACTTCTTACTAGTAATACAAAAATTGTTGCAAGTTTTGTAATAATAATAAATTGAGTTTAAAGCTCATCAGTACTTCTCAAGTTCCTTATGGTTACAATTAATGCTATTAATATTATTGAAGTTTAATAATATTTTTAATGTCATTGTATTGCAAACATGATGTTTAAATTCTTCAAAGGAGTTGAGTGGATAGCTGGCGGCAATAATAAATCAATCAAGGTTGTATTAATCTTTTTATGACAAATATTGTTACTAGTATTGTAGTTAATTCTGAATTTTGCACCAAATTTCACGAGTTCCTTGATTTGTTGGTTTTTAATAATATTAAGATCTCTGGTAATAATGTGCTTATATTTCTGGTTAATGTATTTTGTTATTGTTGCTGCATTTTAAGCAGATTTTGATGCTAGTTACTAATTGGGAACAGATTTTTTTTTTTTTTTTTTTTTAAGTAATCCATTAAGTTAGGATGTATGAAATCGGTTAATCATTGTATAAACCGGATGTATAAAATCGGTTTTATAGAAGTTCATATTGTAAGTTTTATTTTTAGGCATTCTGTATTTAATGAAATCTTTAGCCAGAGCAGTGCAAATTTTATAGTCAGAGGAGTTGCTATTTAAAAAATTCTCTAATGCTTCTTTAGCCTGGAGGAGTTGACTGATAAAGACATGATTTGCTTTTATTGTTTTTCTAAGACTGTTTTAAACTTCAGTTTGTCTTTGTTGGTTCACAGGGTTTGTAGCGGTCCTTATAAGTCCTTATATTTGAAAATAAAATATAAAGGCCCTTATAGGTGCTTACTTTTTCTTTAAAGCCTTTATTTTTTTGCTTTTAGTGCTTTTTTTTTTTTTTTAATGAACGCGCAGTTTTTCCCTGTACCAAAGCCGAAATTAAATAAACAACTTTTCTTCCTAATATGGAATGTCAGATGATGGAAATAACTTTTCCCCTTTTCTCTGCATTAACATAACCTTTGGTGTGCACGGAGAGTACAGACAGGTGCCCGTCGTTCTGTTGATCAAAGAATTGCGAAAGCAGGAGAAAAATTCCAATACATTCGGCATTCTTTTCCTCCCACCCAAATATTACACACGTTTGAATTTCTATCAAATTCTATGCTTATATTATGAGCATATGTATGAATGTTTATAATAACATAGTTGCAGTAACTGCTGAAGTATAGTAAACTTCCAAAAATGGTTGTGTTTTTAACACAGATTAGCTTATTAATTAATAATATTCGGAAC